TTTAATGACTAAACTGCAGTGAAATGGAAAATAATAGTGATAATACATGTGTAAGTGAGTGATGCTGCTCCCCACCCGATGGTCAAGGCTCTGGCCGTTCCCAGAGCAAGGAGAGTCCCCAAACCTTAATCCCAGAATAGAGAGAACTCTAGAAGACCTCCCTGCAGGCAGCAGAGGGGCTGAAAAGGCCTTGGGCTGACCTGGCAACACCTCTAAACATCCCTGGTATCAGTCTTCTTCTTAGAACAAGTCCCAAACGCAGCCCCAGTGCTAGCTGGAGTCTTAATCCTGAACCTAAGATCAAATCCCAGACAGGAGGAGCTGGGAAGGGAGCACAGCCCCAGTTACCAGCCCAGGATTCGATCTTAGGTTTAGGACTGAGACCCAACATGGCCAGTGGTCTGTTCTGTATCATATCCTGCCCAGGACAGAGGTGAGGGCTCTCCGGAAGCTCATCCCTTTTTCTCTGGCTCATCTTGCTCCAGGTGGTTCCCTCTCCCAGGAATGGGGGAGAGAGAATTAAAGGGAAAAAAAAAAAACCACCTCATGGGTTGAGATAAGAACAATTTAATAACTTAACTACAATAATGTTGAAAATAAAAATATACAAATGAGGGATACACAGTGACACTGCTCACCACCCAATGACCAAGGCTCAGCCCGTTCCCGGCTAATGATCCTGGAGCAGGGAGAGTCCCGAAACTGCAATCCTGGAATGGAGATAAGGGCCCGAGTGTCCAAGAGACCAAAACAACCCAGAGGGAGACAACCCGGAGCAAGAGAGAGAACGTCCGGAGAGATCCTCACCTCTATCCTGGGCATGATATGGAGTAGACCACTGGCCAGTTCGGGTCTCAATCCTAAACCTGAAGTTAAATCTGTCCCAGACAGTTCCTGAAGGTCCTGCAGGAGCTTTGCGTGAAAACCAAGAGCAGTGTATCCCCCACTGATGGTGTTTCGTTCTCTCCTCAGATCCCTGAAGACCCAGCGCAGAGACGGCTCCGGGAACTTGCCCTGCTGAGCACACGGCTGCAGCAGGTTCACCCCAACGTCCTGGCCAAAGTGCTCAAGCAGGGAACAGTCTTCCAGAACGAGGAGATCGTGGTGATCAACAAACCCTACGGCCTCCCCGTGCACGGTGAGGAAAAAAAAAACAGCTGGGCCGCATCCGTGCCGATGCTGGAGAGGGGGAAATTTAAATGTCTCCGTGGCGCTGGTGGGGAGTTCTCCATCTTTATCCTCCCTGTGCTGAGGTTTTCCTTCCCGGGGAGAGGTGCGAGGAGTTTGTCACCAGTAGATCACAGCGTTTGTCTGGTGTTTTGGGGATAATTTAAGGTCCACGGGGAGGTGAACGTCTCCCCTGATTGCCTCACGTGTGGGTTCCGCAGGCGGCCCCGGTGTCAAGAATTGCATCGCCGACGTGTTGCCGATTTTGGCCAAAATGTTGGAGAACATGAAAGCCGAACCCCTCCACCTCTGCCACCGGCTGGACAAAGAGACCACAGGCGTGATGGTGCTGGCGCGGAACAAGGAGACGGCGGACAGGATCCGGCTTCTCTTCAAAACGCGGCAGGTGGAGAAGATCTACTGGTAGGACTGGTTTCGGTGGGCTTCGAAGGGGCCAGAGGGTTTGAAAAAGGGGTGAAGGGGACGTGGGGCTCACCCCGCAGATCTCTGCTTTCCCTCCCCAGGGCGATTATTGTGGGCGATCCCGACCCCACCGAGGGCGTGGTGGAGATCCCCATGGTGGAGAAGGAGGTGCGAAGCCACCAGTCGCACTACAAGGTGACCCGCGCATCCCCTCCTTCCGTCCTCGCGTGTGCCTTCACCCCCTTCCTCCGGGCTCACCCTCTTGCTGCTGTTTTCAGATGACTCTGGCCCCCAATTATCGCCTGTCTCCAGAGGACGGAAAAGTGGTGAAAATCCGTAAAAACCGCGATGCCGAAAGCGCCGTGACGCGGTATCGCCGCCTGGCCAGCTCTTCTGCCTGCTCACTCCTG